ATATTCAAAGCTTGCTGTCAGCTCTTATCAAAGAGAATACTTGATGGAGAGTAAACTCTAAACAGCTCATAAACTTTCCCAAAAAAAAAAGAAGGTGAACGTGACTGAATGAAGGTGATTTTGGATTTACAAAACTACATTCACCAAGCAAAGAGCAAGAATGAAATGTGCAGGTGTAGGCAAGAATATAAATTTGGTTAACCTAATCATACCTCAAGAATGATTTCTCCATTTTCCCCTGGGAGCTCCTCTGTTCATGAGGTGCATTGTGTGGAGAGCCATAATTACAATTGCCATGTTTCTGGAAATCAAAGACACTAAAACTGCAATCAAGGAAAGGAAAAATTATTAGACACATTATCTCGATTTAACTGGACATGAATGTGCTAGTAATGAACTGGTACCAAAAGAATCTCTACCTGCAAACGTGACCAACACCTTCAACATCCACTGTAAAATCAGCAATGAACTGCAAGATGTCATCCACCCGCTGCAAAAATAAACAAACAACATTTTAGTACAAAAGTTAAAATTTCAGGCACAGGACAACGATAGAAATAATGACCAAAAAAAAACCTTTGGCACAACAAATAGAAGCAAGAATGGAGTGAGGAAAATAGAGGCCATCTCCTCCAGCAACATCATTCCAGTATACTGCATCACAACATTAAAAAAATACGACGAGTAAAAATAATTCAAAAAGTCTTAAGTAAATAGACGAAAGGACCAAAGATATTTTGTTACTTAAAAATCCTTAAGACTTCTTGGAGATGTAAAAATAATAAACTAGGAACACAACAATTAAACTGGGCTTCGAACAACTAGGAAAGCAATGAGAAATGCAACTACTCATATGGCTATATGACAGTTAAAACATCTTATAGTCGATTTTTACAATTGAACAAGCATGCAAATCCTAAATTACTGGTAAAACAAAGATAAGAACCAAGCTTGATTACCTGAAACAGAGTTTCAAACTCTATTCGGACTGTTTCAGTATTTTCTTTACCACGCCATCTCTTTGGCATATAATGCGTATGTTGCACCACTATAGACATTGCTCCTTCTGGATCAAGGACCAAAATTTCATCTGTAACAGCAGCCCGGCTAATAGCTGTTATGGTTCCAAAAACAGCCGCATACCAAAACAAGTTCCGACCAAATATCTATTACATTCAACAGCAAAATAAATAAATAACTGAATTGAAATACAGATATAAAATAGAAGACACTGAAAAGATGGAAGTTCAAAAACATTACATGGCCTTCTAACAAAGATTCTTCCAGAAAGGCAATGATGATCAAGACAGCAGCAAAGCCACCAGATACAAATGAAATAAACTTTGCAATGATGGAAATAATTGGTGAGGGGAATTGCTTTAGGTACTCAGACGCATGCATTACACTGCTATTAATCCGATGCTTGAATAAATGGTCAACCTGTAAGTCAAAAGGCAACAGCGTATGCAAAGATACAGTATTACAGTATGTGAAAACAGGAGAATCTAGAAGTATAAAATATCCAACTGAAGAAAAAATTGTTGTCATCTATTTTCACGGTAGGTTCCACGATAATTTTTCTTTATATATATATATATGCGCATGTATATTGGATTTGTAAAAATTAAAACATTCACAAAAACAAAAGAATGTAACTTCAAACAAATGACTGCTCGAGAGTCCCAGTTCATAATAGCAAACTTGTGAGGTTAGGTAGTGTATCAATCCTTAGAAAGGGGGATGATGGTACCTCGTTGAATTCCCTAAACATCCACTTTGCCAAATTTGACCATCTCCGGGATGAAGCTGTGCTTGGGTGATTATAGAATTGTTCAGCATGTCTTAAGAAGAGATAAACCACCATGAATATAACAAGGAACGGGGAGAGAAGAAGCATGGCAAGCCCGACAACCATGAGCCTCTTCTTCAATGTTCTAGGATTAGAAATGAAGTCCCCTCTAATGCAGAACTTTCTGTAAAAAAGAAATACTTGGTTATAACCCCCTAAAGTTTAGTAGTTTTCTTTTCTTCAAAAAACTCAAAAACTTTTCCAATGTTAATTTCAGCATAATATTTTAACTTTGAAGTACTTCATAATTTTGTTTCTTGCCAAAGAAAATTTATTGTAATCAACTCCTTCTAGCTACTTATGACACCATATCAACCATTAAAGACCCAGCACTACCAAAGTCAAAGACTTTGTATGAAAAATGAAAAATGTAGGTGTTTCTGAAAATTAGAGCATCAAAATCAGCTTTATGTGCTGAAACCAGGAACAAGATGATACAAAGAAAAAGTAAATCTTTCCTTCACCACAAAAATGTCAAAGCTACATAGACACGGACCATTTACGCAGAGTTATCCAAAAAGCACCCACCAACACCAAAACTGCATTTTGTTATGCCTCTTTGCAAAGAAAGGATTGTAATTTGTATAATATTCTTGAAAATGAAATATTACGCATTAAAAAAATAAAGAAATAAGTAATTTTATTATTAGTCTGACAGTAGGAAGTCATGACATTTCCATAGATTACTTTGCTAAATATACATGTTGGAACAAATTGGGAAGAACATACATAAATAAGAAAGTCAAATGCTCATTGAAAATTAGACATACCCGTCAAACATGCTCTGCAGTATACACCAATTTAAGGCCCATTCAAGTGTCTTTGTCAGTATTAGACGATGTTGCATTCCATCAGGGCCAAGTTTGAAAGTTGGACCAGCACCCGGAACCCAGGTCGAGAGAGGAAATGCAAGCACTCCTTTGTTAAGCATTCCAATCAAGTAGTTCTCCTTCCGCATCAATCGCATAACAACATCATGAGCAGAAAGATCTTTGACTACACAGAGTTGCTGTGAGATTTGTAATCGGACAACCCTTTCCAGAATCGTTTCCCAAGGCATGGTTTGAATTTCATTGTCAGTAACATGGAGACTGCAAAATATAATTTCAAACATAATTAGTCATTTAACATTTATAAGAAATTCCAAATGTACCGAATGTTAAACTAAAGCTTCCAGTGTATCTTGTAACTTATCAAATATAAACTTACCTATTATAATAGAAATGGCGTATTTCAAGTGTATCTTTTAATTGTGCAAAAAACCTAAAAAAACAGAATATCCAGTAGATGGAAAATAGCCCCAAATATCCAACTATAATTGCTTTTGAAAGTGTTAACGGGGTTAATGGGTGCTGGTGAAGAGCTTCCTTAGAAAGATCACATTGCTTTATTCCAGATTCAAATGCATCCATACCACACTTTGCATTTCGGAGACCGTTCCAATCAACAAACAATAAGAAAAACCCAGAGAAACATATGGTAAAGCCTAGGCTCAGGAGTTCAACTATCCATTTTATAATGATGCACCAAAGGCCTTTCTCACAATAGTAGCTATAGAGCCGTTCAAAGAACAAGTCCAAGTCAGCAATCGGTTCCACATTCAGAGTCTCACCATTAAGAAGCCCTGAAGGACTCTCACTACCAGGACTTGGTGGTACTCTTCCATATCCAGATAACTCAATTTCAGGAGGTGCATCACCTAGTAAGCCTGTTGTCAAAGAGGATTCACCACCCCATTTCCACTTAAATATGCCAATAGAATTTGCAGCCTTTTGCCTACGGAACATCATTTATAAATCTTGATGGCAGGGAAAAACAACCAGTCCATCCCAAAACACAAATGTTTATTGCAAAATTCTGCCAAAGAGAAGAAAATCAGATAAATTCAGTTTTGCATGGTATGTATGCAAATGCCCACATGCACTGGATGCGGAGGTAAATAGAAGAAAAACAGAAAGTTAATCCCTTATAATATGCATCAGAACAATGAAGGGTCTAAACAACATTATGAGTTACACAAAACTTAGTGGAGATCATTCTAATATAAAATTCAACTACTGAAACAACAAATAGAACAATAAATGAAAGAAACAAATCATTGCAAAAGATTTTTACTACTGCTTAAAATAATTAACTGAGTTCAAATACCTGCAAATCATAAGTTGGAGCAAAGCCACAATCTTTCCTTAGAAGAACCAGCTTCCAAGAAGCTACAAGACGCAGCAATTTGATCCAAGAAACTCAATTGTGATCCTGAACACAAATAGTAGCGACTAAATCAAATATCCATATAAATTCTGCAGAAGAAAAAGAAAGTGGCAAAATCAAATACCACACCAAGATTATCCGATCATGAAAAATAAATATCAAAAAGTATCGGAATTCACCTCCGACCCACCAACGAGCACCTCCAATAACACCGAAAGAACAAAAGTGGCCAACACCCACTAAGGATTATTCCACGAGAAATCAATACAGCATAAGGTTGACCGCTACAAGGAGAACTCCAAGAAAGGAAGGAAGGGAATAGAGGGGTTTGTTGCGTGGAAGGAAATAAGAAAGAAAAGATTCAATCTTTTAGTGAATCGTTTCTAAAATTACAAAGTTAATCAATTTAAGAAGTTACAGAAATGGGTTTATTCGGGCTTCTCTTCCTCTCCTTCTCCTCCTCCTCGTCTGTGAAAATTAAAAATTGAAAAAAAATGAATGAAGGAGACGTGAAGGCGAGTAATACCTCTTGTTGTTTTGGTTTGAGCAGCCGAAGAAGGCAAAAGGGAGAACTTTCTGTATTTGTTTTCTTGTTACAATGAACACAAAAGCAACAATCTCGGACTCCAACATGTTGTAGCTTAGTTTAAACCCAATGGGCCTTTCCAAGAAATTAGCAACTCTTTTTAATATTTTGGGCCATCGCCAAGTTCGTTTTGGGCCTGATTTTTAAATGGGATATCCCTGTGTAAATTAGACTAACCGTTTACACTGCTCTCCATACAAGCCTTCAAAGAATCCGCGGGACGTAACGAATCAAATTGGCGATAATACACGTGCCAATCATAGGTAGCTGTTCCTTCCCGCCAGGAAAAAAAACAAAAAAAAACCTTTCTTATATACTCCCACTCTTTACTTCTTCTGCCGTAAAGTCACCTGATTAGGCTTTTTTTTGTTTGTCTGATCTGTAAGTTTTAAGCTATGAGCTCCTCAGATTCTCTCAAATCAACCCCTTTGAAGTCCAAGGCTTCTCGGAGCCTAACCTCGAAATCTCCGGTTTCCAAAACCCCGGAAAAGAACTCCTCTCGGCTCCCCAACCGTGCTTGTAACCGTGAAGTCGCCCTCTCCGCTAAGGAGATCCGGCAAGTGGCTCAGACTCGATCCAAAGCTTCTACCCTCCAGATCAAGTCAGCCCGAAAGCAGATCTTATCCTGGCCCACTGAATCTCCACCACCCAAAGCCTCCGGTGGCCGTCCCGATAAACTCCCTGAAAAGTAGGTCCGCTTGACACACTCAGCCTAATTTCTTTTTTTTTTAATACTGTTACTGATTGAAGGCTTTTGGAATAGGTACGAGATATTGTGTGAGTTTTACGATAGTTTAGATTCTGCAATCCGGCTGCTAAGATTGAAGGGGTCAATGCCCACTTTTACAAATATCAGCCCCAAAATAGAGTGTTTAACTGATAGGTAATTTCACCTTAATCATCTCAGTTAGTGGTTTGTTTTTAAGTTCTGTCTGGCTTGTTTTGTTTGAGTATTTTATTTTTTGGGTTTGATGTTGTTTTATAGGAGGTTTTTATACAGTCACTTGGCTCAACTAAAGCATATTTTAGCGGAGGCGATTGAGATAAAGAGAATTCTTGTGTTTGATGAGATGACTAGTTGTATGAAACCAGATCTCCACGTAAGCATCATTCTGGATGCGATTGACTTTGGGGACAACTTAAAATCCGAGACTAAGAATCTGAGGTTAAGGAAGGTTTTTCGAGCTCGTCTTGTGGACTATAGCAAGGCTCATCCTGAGGTATTAATACCAATTTGTATTAGGCCTAATGGTTAAGTTCTAGCATTCTAGATCTTAAGCTTACCTAATATTCTTTTAATTGGAAATCGCAAATTACCATGAAATGAAAAAGAATAACTAAGAAACAGTGGTGTTATGAAGCTGTTCATTTAGAAATGCAAGAAACTCATTTATTTGGACCAGTAACCATCTGTTAGATATGGTTTGCTTGTATGTGAGGCCTCTAGGCCTTTAATTGATGAAGCCCAATGGCTAGTTCTAGCAATAACCCCCTGGTCAAGGTACACTTGTAGTTATAGCAAATACATACTCTCCCATTACTTTTTGAGCCTTGGGTACCAAAAAATTGTGCTTAGTTCTAGGGTCTTGGTGGTTAAAGTTACTTGAAATACTTATAAATATGAAAGATTAGTCATTCCGAGGCTATTCATTTATTAAAGTTCAGTACTTGGTTTTGTTTGTAGCAATGACCAACTATTTAGAATGAAACAAATCTTATCATGTTGTTCCTAGATTAATGCTTTTACCTGTACTTGAAAATGAAAGCTTATAATTAGTTAAGTCTTGTGGTCAGTTCTATTCAGCAATAACGGTTTCGTATGCTCACGGAAGACCCAAGTTAAAGCAAACATGCAGTGGCAATGTTAGAAAGCCTACATTTTTGTAGAAGTGATGAAAAACATTTTAACTCTGGAAGATAAAACTTACCTAATGCTGTTCTAACTGTTTTCTTTTCAAGTACCATGTTGGTTTGACTACAATTATTTTGCTTCCAGGGTGATGAAATTCCAGAAGAAGATCTCCCAGAGCCGTTCAATCGGTCAAAGCAGAATTTGCAACTGAATGCATCATCAATTGATACACTCACTGAGAAGAAAACTTTGGCAATGCAAGGTGAAGTTATTCAAGAGGAAGTAGAGCCACATCCTTCCAATCATACAAAGTTCAATTCAAAGCTAGCTCCGGAGACTTTATCTGGTTTCGTTAATGACCAGCAACCTGTGGTAGCATCACATGTATCTAGATCATTTAGAAAGCGCTTTTCCCTGAAAACCACAAGCAAAGCTCAGGAAGCTTTGCAAAAATGTTCAGATTTTCAAGTACCAGATGTATGTACCGACAGATCTGCCTCCAGTGGTGACACTACCTTTGCTCCAACTCCATCCCCAACAAAGCTTTTATCTAAACAAACTACCAGTGAGACATATCCAAAAAATTGCCTCCCTGCAACTCCAATCAAAGAGTTAAAACCGTTAAAAACTGCAGATGAGTCCCCTATGAAAGCTGTTAATATTGATTCCACTCCTGTGAAACTCGCTTCAACTCCTGCCAGGCTGATGATGGCCACACCTACTCTACAGTCACAAAAGAGATGTTACATGAGCCCAGATGAGGTTTCTGTTACTTCATCAAGCAAGCTGGTACGCCGACCACCACGTACCAGGTCCTTGAAATTTGACACTCCCCTGAAGGAAGAGAAACTTGTTGGTGAAGTGCAAGAAATGGCAGGCAAACCAGTTGATAATGATGAAGATGATGTTCTTTCTATTTTGACTGAAAGCCTTCAGCACTCGGTAAACCCACTTAGAAATCCTTTTGCTATCATCTTTTTAAAACATGAATTATGTGTGTTTTAGTTTCTATTGGATATAATACTTCCATCTGGAAATGAGTCATCCGTGTTTCATATCCTATCCCAAGGAGAATGGAGGTTCATAAATTAGTATTTCCCAACAGTGTTACTCTCAAGATTTCTCAGTATCATTTAGCACAAAGTTCAGTTGGAAGTGAAATCAAATAGTGTATGGGGGTTGTAAGGGTTTGGCCTTGATTGAATGAGTAAAAAGCATTAGGTAACCGTTCATTATCCTTGCAGACAAGGGAGAAAGAGAGGAAAGCATTGGAGGAGCGAGATCCAGCAATCTCGGAAGCAAAGAGACGGCAACAAATGATTGCCTGCCTACCTAATCTCTTCAACATGATTCACTATTTTTTCCAGTCCATAAATTGGTCGGTTATTACAAAAGAGGAGCTTATGCACAAACTAATTGCTGGTCATTGTGATATTGCAGATAGAGGTAAACCTTTTGGCTAAACAGTTTGCATCTCATGATATTTGATTGGATCGTGAAACATTAGTTGAACTGCCTTTGGTCTTCTTTCACAGGAGAAGTTGAAGAACAGTTAAAACTGTTGCAAGAGCTAGCTCCAGAATGGATATATGAAAAGATGGCCTCTGCTGGGGATTTACTTGTTTGGTGAGTCTTAACTAAATTTTTACCCTTATTTGGTATGTTGATAATTGCTGATGACTGTCCACCTATTTTATTACAAAATCTAGCATATGTTTGTATTTAAGAAATTCTTCTATTCGATTGAATTATCCATTATTTGCAGCATCAATAAAGTGGCAAGCCCAGAATCAATACGAATGTGTCTCCAGGAGGCAAAATGAGAGGAGAATCAGTGCTGTGTTTCATTAAATTATTAATATTAACAGCTGGAGTTTGAAGTTTCCGCGTAGCTTCAGCTTTTGTACACAATTTAGATGTATGTATAACCCATATTTATGTATTTAGATGGTAGGGATGCTAAGATGAAAATTCATAAATGCTTTCCATGACTGCTTTTGGTATCTTGTTTTTAGGGTATCTTTACCACCATCACAACGTGAAAACATTCCTGTTGGTCTTGAGTTTTGATGATAATGTGATCCTTTTTCCTTTCCACAGTAGCAAATGTGAACCGATGATACCAATTGCTCCACCTAGTATACTGAATGGTAAAACAAGAAATAGTGTTTTCTAGAGATAATATAGTGCTTTGGTAAGTATGAAATGAACCATGGCTTTTTGTTTTCGCCTACCCAAGTGTAGTTTTCAACCAGAATAAAGAATGCAGAGAAAGGGGAATAAACATTGACAAAGACTGGCCCTTTTTCTTTCAAGCACCAAAACTGGAGAAAGATAGAAAACACCAGAGCATACAATTCCCTGGCATATTCAATTCCAAACTACCTGCCTCAAGACAATGTTTCCAACAAATATATATATAACTAACACGTTTAAAATATGGTAGCAGCCATGAAAATACAGAATATGTAACGGTCCAGAAACGGATACTGAACATCTTGATCAACCATGCAGCCAGTCTGTGCTGTCCGAGCACCGTGAAGACAGCAGATTGCTGCACGGCCCCGATACAATTCATTCACATGACGTTTGTGACAGTTGCGCTGGGCTACAACTGCCTACAGAGTTCACCAATTTTATGAGAAATTGGGAATTTATGCTAACTGCATTGAATAATTTTGATCTAAGAGTTGCTGCAGTACGTGTATGCGTGACCTTATTTTTAAAAGGTATAATATCAAAATTAGACACCATCATTACTAAAATGGTCATTTTGGTCTCAATTCTTTTTTAAAAAAGTTATTTTATTCTCAATTTTTATTTTGGGACAAAAAGGTCCCTCCGTGGATGAAAACCATTATTTAACAAAAGGTTTTTTTATTTGAAGTTAACAAACGGTTAACGCCCTAAAATAGGGGCTTTTTCTCTCTAAGATGAAACGTTTGGGGTGCTAAAAAGCTTCATGGTAAAAGAATATGGGTCAAAGTGACTATTTAGTCAAATGTTAGGACCTTTTGCCCTAAAATGAGACATTGGAACCAAAATAATTAAAAAAAATGAGCCAAAATGATCATTTTGATAAACGTTGGAGGGATAATTTTGATACTACTTTAAAATCTATTAAAACTTTGAAATATTATGTGTGATAAGTCAACTTTTATTTTAGAGTTACACTGTAGGGTCAGATCCATTTCTGAGATTTTAGTGGCCTGGGACAAACATAGAAATTAGGCCTCAAATAACAAAAAAAAATTGAATTATAAGAGCAAAAAAAATACGTGTAAATTATTTTTATAACGTTTAATAAACTATCTAATAAATCATCATATTTTAAACAGAAAACATCAATAAATTTTATTAACACCCAACTACTCACACAAAACAAACATGACCCTCTTTTAAGAGGGTCCAAGTTCGATTTCAACCTTCTGTTTTGTTTTGTTTGTGTTTCCCTTGATGTATACTAGAAATGGCCATCAAGGGAACACACCTATATCAGTTAATCTATACCGGCTAAGTCTTATGCTTCCAACGAACAATAGTACTAGGTCATATGGAACAGAAACCAAAAGATAATGTATTATTGTAAAAGAATTGATGTAATAATACATAATTAAATGAAATTAATTAGTAATTCAATTAATAACACTCATGTGTAACTCTAATCAAACGTGTAGAGTCTTTTTGAGTTGAATAAAGGTGATTCGGATCTACTGGAGAACAGTGTGGAGAGTGATCACCTTCAGAACATGATATCGAAGAGTAAGATCATATATTTGAGAATTTACTTAACATAATTATAGTGTAAGCTCTAAAAGATGCAAAACAGGATTTTTGGGTCAAAATTTGGTAAAACGAATTCAGGACGCTGAAAAATATCGAGATAGAAGTCTTAGAGAAAGAGTCAACAGGTCAAAGTCAACGGTCAACAGTCAATGATCAATAGTAAATAGTGAACTGGTTGAGTTAAAGTTAATATGTCAACTTAGTTTGGTTCAGGTTCGATCAACTTGGATGAGTTAGATCGATTTAAGATCGGTCCAGTCTGACTGGTTCAACCAACTAAACCAGTTTGTAAGAAAAGTAACTCAATACGCTCAATGGCATTGTGTGTGGCGCATGGCCTAGACTCCGATGGCCGGCATTACACCAAAAGTTCTAGACTTATTTTTTCGACGTAGAGAGTCCATTGTTAAGGCTAGTTCATGACGAAAAGCACCAGAGACGCGATTTATATAAAACCTGAAAATTAACCTACTCCGCCCCTATTAACGACATTAATAGTGATAAATCCAGGACCACCAGTAGAACAAAAATAACAAGTCGAACAGATTGACGTTAGCGGTGACGTTCACGACAACAAGAATCATGACGAAATTAAAAAAAAACCATGATCGAAGAGAGAGATAGAGATGATTCCATAAAAGAAAAATGAAAATTAGAAAAATAAGCAAAATTGAAAATATATTTTTAAATACCACATTTTTGGTTTAATTATAGAAGAAACCCTTACACTATTGAAGATTCCACAAAATGATACTAAACTTTAAAAATTAAAATGTTTAACATTTAACCCCATTTTTACGTGCGACAACTTTCCCCTTAAGAAAATTTCAACCTCGAAATTTTCATGACAGAATCTAAATAACTCTCTCAAACTGACCATCAAACCACAGATGATAAGATTAAGATGTACCAATGTTTAGTTGAATGCACAAAGCCTTCAAGAATGGCGATGTAAATCCCAGATCTCCAGTAGAAAATTAGTCGAGGGAATCCCACGAAGACGAACAACCTTAGAAATATAAAATCGAGCCAATTTGTCCAGAGTACAACTAGTTTGAACTAAAATGAAGTAGCCAGACTTATTAAGAGGGTCAATAATAACCCAGACTGAATCTTTTTTGGACTCTGTCAAAGGTAATCCACCGATAAAGTTCGCATTTACTCATTTCTTTTTTTTACCCCGAAATTTGCATGGGTTGAATTAAACCAAACGGAAACTGATATTTAATCTTCTTACCTTCAGAATCATGCTTGAAATTGATTTGCTTCATTAGAATATATTTTAGAGTTTAATACTTATGTTGGACACTTACTACACATCAATCAGAATTAAAGTTCACTTAACGGTAACAAGTAATATATAAACTATACACAGAACTCTTGTGCAGGACACCTTTCAGAATACTTCAGAACATATACAAAAGTTTTAGAATAATGAACATAAAAAAACATAGTTGACGATACCGGAGAGGGATATAGCAATGTTGGGTCATTTCCCTCAAGACAGACTGAATCAGAATAGTACAAATATTATATATTTCCAATTTTTAGAACATTTTCATTAATATGAATGAGAGAGCCCTTAACAAACATTGGAATTGATTTATTAAGAGTCTCAAGTTCAGACAAAAATATTTCATTTCAGAATGTAAAACATTACATGAATCTTTAATAGTTCTAGGGTTACAGATATATCGTTGTCAAAAATCATAATTTCATAGTGAATCACGATGTGATTGAATAAAATTCAAACAATATCACACTTAACGTTTTTATACAAGTTCATTTATGTGCTCAGATTATCGTACAGAACCAGAATTTTATCATAATTCACAATTGCATAAGAATTTGGAAAAATATTTAATTATAGGACATATATGATCCTTACGAGTTACTTCTTAGGAAGGATTTCTTAACATATCTAGAGATTTCAATCAGGTTTTTTTAAGATAAAACTGAACATAATGTTGAAAACCAGACATAAACAAATTTTTTACAAGAGAAAATCATGAATAAATTCAAAATTTCTGATAAAGTTAATTTAAGGAAGACTAAAAAGTGCTAAAAGAAAATCAAGAACATACATATCTATCTTTTCTAATTCAGAAGTTTATTCAACCGCATCAGTTCAGACAGATAATGACTTTTTTGTAACAACCCACAAATTCAAAACAAATTATAACTTTTCATAAAAATATTCTCATGAAAATAAGTGAACTTTTGAAAGATTTTCTTCAAAAACAAGAAACAACTTCCTGAGCATAATAGTTGAACTAAAACACCATCACATCAGATCAATCACAATTAAATTAATTATTGTTTTATTACACTTAAGTCGACTTCGAAAAAAATTATAACACTAAATAACGATCATTTATTACTAATGACTAGTCACCAGAGTTTAGATCTTAAAACCGAAGTAATCAATTAAGGAGTCTCAACGACAACAAATATTCATAAAAAACTTATAATTACTTAAAAAAAACATTAAACTAAGATTACAGAAAAGTAGTAACTATACGAAATGGCATCGGGGTTTCAGAAAATACTTGAAAATCTTGTGGCATGATTTTCCAAAAATAAAATTTTCATACTTGTCTAAAAAATCATTTTGCAAATTATTTAAAAAAAACTTATAGAATTATATAGAGCTACACAATCCAAGAGCATAATCTGGCTTTGATACCACTAAATGTAACCCCCTATACCTAATCTAAGAGTTACAACTAAATCAGGGTAGCCACGTTAATCACATGAATAGTTTACGAACGAAATTTGTTAAATAAATAATTTTAAAAACATTTATTAATTTTAATATCAGTGATAAACTCATGCCATAGTTAAAAGAGGTTGAAAATAAATATTTAACCTCATATAGTATAAAGTCAAGACTACACCTTCAATAGCTAAACAAGTCATATAACTGGATAATCTTAAAAAAAGACAGAAATAGAGTGAGCTACAAAGCTCAATATATCCTATATATGTAATCAAATAATATAAACCTCCGATAATTTAAGCATAATGTAATAAACAAAATAACATTAAGACACTATTAAAATCCAGATATTTATCAACAACATGTCACAACAGAAGTTCACAACCTTACCTTTCATTTTGAATTAACATAACAAGAATGTTACCTTTCGGAGATGAACCAGAAACCTATGAAGATGGCC